GGCGACGAATCGACATTTCACGGTCTTCAGCAACACTCTCAGAAACAGACGCAATATTCTCTTCTGTACGCACTGTACGCATTCGTGTGGTTGGTTCAATGTCCAATAAAGTAAACTGAGTGCGAAACTTGGTCACAATCGCATTAATTGTTTGCTCACTTGGTCGATTATGTAGACCATAAATCGGACGTAAAGCGCGAAACACATTTCGAACCGAACACTGATTTTGGTAATAAAATTCAATGATTTGCAAGCGTTGCTCGTTAGTAAGTCTATTCATGATGAAATGTCAAAGCATACTGAGCATCTTTCTCTTTGACACCATGTCTGAAATCCCACGTGATCTGTCAAATACTAATGCATGAAAATCCTAACCTCAAAAAAATCACCCGTTAAAATCAATACTTCGCCTGCCTCGCATTCCTTTTATAAAACAGTATTTTAATATAAGGTGAATTCAAAAACCCCCCTCTTTTTTTTACTATTCCCATCGTCTGGCAGCACCAATATTTGTGTTCATTTCCACCACATCCATGGAATGGGCTGTGTTTGCTTACGCCTAAAAGCACATTTAGCGCATTTAGCTCTAAGGGCCGTTTGCACCATGTCTAGTTAACGCTAACTGGAGGTACATCCTTCAGTTAAGCACGTTAACTGCTTTATCGATCACATGTTATATGATGGGTGTCGATTACGTCGATAAAGATGTTTAACTGGGAGTTAGAATTAACTAGACATGGTGCAAACGGCCCTTAATATACATTTATCCATACAAAATTCGTCACTTAAATGCAACTAAATGCAACTCCATTTTTGCATTAGGAATCTAAATGCTAAAATCAACCCTGTGATCTTCCAAAATTTCCAGGATTCGAACATGGTTTAAAGAGAAAAAGTGGCAACATTGCTTTTTCGAATATACAGTTGCTAGCTGCGTTTCAGTGATCGCCGATCGAGATTTTTTTTATTTTACATTACATATTTGGATAAATAAAAATTACGAAAATTCAACATCGATGTGATGCTGGTAGAAATCTGGATCAATTTGTGATCAACTCTGTTTGGTTTGTTTCCTGTTGACAGCACACAAACAAATGTTCGGTTATGGCTAAAACAATTCAAGTTTTTGTATTGAATTTTTGGTTTAAAATTTATTTTTTCCTTTTCAGTAGGGTTTTTGCACATTATCCTCTTCGTGAGAATTGATCGTAATATATACGGATCTAAATAAGAGATTGGAACACGGCTGTTAGTCAAAAGCATACGATTTCGAACTGGCGTAAATGTACATTTGCTAAATGCTATAGCATGAACGCTCTTCGAAAACATATGTTCGAAAGTGCTAAATGTTGCATTTTAAATGCAGCAAATACGCTGCATAATCAATAAACTTTGTATAGTGAAGTGTGCAACTTTAAAAGTTAATAACCTTTTA